TCAGACGATCAGGTATTGCCACAGATCCCGCCAAAACGCAATGTGTCAGCTCCTGGCTGACTCCCACCGCGGTGGGGGAGGTCCGGAGTTTCATTGGTTTCGCGTCTTATTACCGACGGTTTGTCGCCGATTTCACGACGATTGCTAAACGCTCACATGCCTTGACATCAAAGGGGGTCAAGTTTCACTGGGGACAGGAGAAGGAGGCTGCTTTTCGCTCCGTTCAGGACGCCCTAGTGGGGACTCCGCCAATAAGTTATCCCGACTTTTCGAAACCCTTCTTGCTCGATACGGACACAAGCAACACGGGCATTGGGGGCGTGCTTTCCCAGGTTGTTTGGGGCGTAGAGCATGTGGTAGCATACGGCAGTCGGGTTTTGTCTCTGGCGGAACAGAGGTACCGTGTTACCCATCGGGAACTATTGGCAATTGTTTACTTCATTCAGCAATATCGCCCATATCTGTACGGTCGCCATTTCACCGTCCGCACAGATCATGCGGTGCTGCAGTACGCCTTGCGGGTTCAACAGCTATCGGGACAATTGTCCCGATGGTTGGAGATTCTCCAAGATTTCGATTTCGAGACTACATATCGTAAGGGCATTCGCCACGTGAACGCAGACGCTCTGTCGCGTTTGCCGCCCACCTCCGAGTGCGCTTACCTCCTGGGTTCGAGGCGTTGCAGACCTCCAAATGTAATCACTGAGTCGGTCCTTGCGGCCGCAGCTGATGCGCCTTCAATTGCGGGTCCTATTGAGCAAGAAGAGAGGGATTCTTTCCTGGGATTGTCTGTTGTGGAGTGGGGGCGCCTCCAAATGGAGGACACCTCCCTCCTCGCGTTGCGCCGTCGCATCGGGGGATCTGGTCGGGGGGTGGAAAATGTCGACTCGTGGGGGTTGTTCCAGGGTCTCTTGATGTATTGGGATGGGAGATCCCGCCGCCACCGGCTGGTGGTGCCTTCCACACTGAGGGGTAGAGTGGTGTGGGCTGCTCACGAGCGACTCCTGCACCTGGGGACTCACAAAATCCTTGCTATGCTCCAGCTGGATTTTTCTTGGCCGGGCATGGCAAGGGACGTGGATGATCTTGTAGGGTCTTGTACTCAGTGCGCGCAACGGAAGCCACCAGCAAGGGGGTCCAACCCACCATTGCAGTCTATCAAGGTTTCCCGGGTTAACGAACTCGTCGCACTTGATATTTTGCGCCCATTCCCCGCTGCACCTAGGGGAAATAAATACCTATTGACCGGGGTGGAATATTTTACACGATGGCCTATGGCCTGGCCCCTCGCCAACCAGTCGGCAGCAGCCATCGCGGAGGCCTTTGTTCAGGGCTACGTCCTCGACAAAAGTACTCCGGAGCGGCTGCTGACCGACCAAGGGAAACATTTCTCGGGTAAACTTCTCCACGACGTGTGCAAGCTCCTGGGTACGAAAAAAATCCGTACCTCCCCATATCATCCGCAAACTGACGGGATGGTGGAACGTCTGCATCGGACTATCACGTCCATGCTGTCTCAACAGGTGTCTGAATCCCAGACCGATAGGGACCTTCATATTCCGGGGGTTTTGGCAGCCTACAGAATGGCTCCTCATGCGGCGACCAGATTTTCGCCTTTCTTCCTAATGTACGGTCGCGAGGCTAACCCGCCTGTCGCGACTCAGCTGCGGATCTCCGCGCCGCATGCGAAATCCAAATTGGCCGACCATGTCAAATTCAACATCTCTAAATTTACAGAGGCACGGGAGGCGGCCATCCAAAATTCAGACCTCCGCCAGAGGGCAAATGAAAGGCTCAAGCTGGGCTGGGTACATGTACTCCAGTGGAAACCGGGTGACAAGGCGTGGTTGCACTGTCCCCAAGTTCCGCTGGCGACCTCGTCCAAGCTGTTGCGGCCGTGGCGGGGGCCCGTGGAAGTGGTGCAGGTCTTGCGGCCACAATGTGTACGTATCCGGTGGGGGAAGCGTCGGTGGTTCGTGCACCCCTCGCGGTTGAAACCATTCGTTGCGCCCCATGTTCCTAGCACACACACACATGGCCAAAGATGTGAGGGGTCCACCGACTCCCAGAGTCCGACTTTGCTGCATTCGTCTAACTTGCCACCGACTGTTACGCCTCCAGGTGCACCAGGATTGACGTGCTCGCGACCGCCAACCCCTCCCGGGGGGGTCGAGGGTCGCTCGTCGGCGAAGCCAGACACTCTCGCACCCGAACTATTGACACCCACCGCTGGGCCGGCCGGGGCTGCCCCTTGTGACGGTCCCGCTGCAAGAACGCGCGTCAAAACGCGCAGACTTTTGTGAGGTCGGCCGCTCGTGCAGCCCTTGCTGGGGTCGTGGGGTGGGGGGGTCCTTGAAATTTTATATATGTTGGTTTCTTACGGGATTGGGTATTTATTGGGGGCGGTGCATCGGGTTATTTTTTTTCTCTCTCGGTAGTGTTGTTGTTACTGTTGTTGTTGTTCTTGTTGTTTACGCGAGGCACACACGGGTTTGGGGGGGATGCATCTTTATAGTGAATTTTGTTGTAGCCGGGACGGCTGCGGGGTGTACAGGGGGGGGGGGGGTGATGTAGAGGTGTTACGGGAGGGCGAACAAACACAGCAGGGGTGGTTATGCCCGCACGCGGAAGGATGCTTACATCCATGTCCGCATCGTTTAGCCTGGGGGGCTGAAACGGCGCTGTGATCACCCAGTTGCTATATAAGGCGGTGAGCCGGTGGGCTCAGGGTTGAGTGTTTAGCTTAAACCAGTGAAGAAGGAAGACCGGCTAGATAGGCCCTGGGACTCCCCTGGATCGCTGTCCTTCTAAGGACCGACCAGAGCAAGCCAGTGGCGTGGCCCCGAGAGCCCAGAGCTGATGCTCTTGTACGAGCCGGTCTGGGGACTCAGGGTGCCGTGATCCCAGCTTTGCCAGAGCTGGATCAGCTAGCCTCCCCTAGCTCTGTAGTGGATGACCTGGGAGTAGGCTAGCCAGGATAGAGATCGTGGGATCTCCCTGTTAGGCGGGTGAAGGGGCCGATACCCCTTTGAGTGTTGTATACCTTGGCCTGTATAGAATGGAACGTTTAATAAATACGTGTGCCTCCGACTACGTCGTCCAAGTCTCTTTGAACCTACTACACACGTTTCAGGAGTCTTGGCCCCGTACAGGATGGACTCACATGCTTCTACGGGATTCTCCTCGTGTTTTATCATGTACAGGTGGGATAATGAACCTCCCATTGATGCACAATTGGGTATCGGGCCGGATTAGGTAGAGAGCAGCCATGCCCGTTCCCCTACAGGTCATTCTGCATCGTGTCTCTGAAGCTCACGAAGTGGCCAGAGAAAACACTGCCAAGATGCAAGCTTCTAATGGCGTGAGCACGTGCTTCCGTGGGCAATCGGGGACAGGGCCTGGTTATACTGCCCTCAGGTGCTGCTGGGTACGCCCCCCAAGTTACATCGGCCATGGCAAGGTCCCATCAAGGTGGAGGAAGTCAGAAGGCTTCAGTGTGTGATAATTCAGGCGGGATGACGCCATTGGGTCGTTCACCCGTTGCGCCTGAAACCATATGTTCAGCCCTTTGTTGACAGCTCACCTCCAAGCCCTGTGTGGCCAATGTCTGGTGTGTTCAACGAGCCGGGGAAATCGGCCAAGGACATTGTGCCTCAGGAAAATGCGTTATTCCGACCACAGTTTCCAAGTCCCTGAAGCCCAGGGAAGCCGCCACATGTGATGAACCGCTAGCTGGAGCCCAGTCAAATTCCTCAGAAGAGTCCAGGGATGAGCCTACCCCTTCAAGGCTTTTGTGCAAGCCCCCATTGCCTGGAGAGGCACAGAATTACGCCCAGAGCGATGGATTGGCGTCAAGGACCCAGTCAACGTGTTTACGATTCCACTAAGCGGATCTCCCATGGTCATGGCGGGTTGTTTTTTTTTACATGCGGGGTTTTTCTGCCCTAAAAAGCGTTGGGCGTCATATTATTTTATGCAGTTCGGCTGCGCTAATGTTCGTCGGTTGTCGGGTTGTTTATTTATGCAGTTCGTCTGCCTTAACGTTCGTCAGAGGTCGGATAAAAGTTTTTATTACCGATGCAGTTCTTTGGCCCTCACGCGGTACACTGTCATTATGAGCCGAGATGGCTGATGTGTTTCAAAAAGGGGGGGGGGGGGGTTAGGTAGATACAGTGTGGGAGTAGAGACAGTGCGTGTGTAGAGACAGTGCGGTTTCAGGAACAGTATGTGGCCCTGTGGTCACGAGGGGTAATCACGGAAGGGGAACCATCTGGGAAGTTTGGGAATGGGCTAGAGGGTTCGAGAAAGGGGTCGTGGCCAGGGGCGGAGTGAGGGCCATGCCGGGAATAAAAGGAGTCGAGACGCAAGGTTCGTGGCTGCCGTGGGAGTGGGTCAACTGTCTTCACGCCATTGCTGTCTTCACGCTGTTGCTGTCTTCACGCCATTGCTGTCTTCGCGTCGCTATCTTTGCGTCGTCGCTGTCTTCACGTCATCGCGACTTGCGTGCCATCCCTGGTCCAAGTTAGCTGTGCTTTATCCCCGGCCCAAGTGATCTGTGCGTTATCCCTGTCCAAGTTACCTGCGTGAAGCGCCCTAAATAATAACTAAGAAACCTCTACAGTTCAAATTGTCCGAGTCATTACACTTATCCTAAACTTCACTAGTATCACATGACGTTATGATCCCTCTACAAAATCTAACCAACCCAAGGTCTCGCGATGGCATGATCTCCATTCGGTCCCTCGTCATATCGTGACATCATCACCCTTCCTCCTTACATCACCCCATACTGGTGTGACATTGATATGCCTCTCAACACCCCTGCATCTCTGATGCCATCAACCCCTTCACCTCATCCAAAACTCGCGTGATGTCATCCCGATGCATTAAAGACAGGCACACACGTGAAAAAGCGTATTATTTCTAGATTACTCAAGTGTGATTCTGTATTTTAGTGACATCCTTACGTATCATATCAATGCAGATGAACGCCAAAAGAATAATCTGAGAATCCTTTATTTACGTGTATGGTTAATGTGGTATAACTTCCACCAGTCAATTCAACAAACCAGATATTTTATTTGTACTCCAATTTGCATTTACACCAAGCCAAAATTGAATCAGCTGTCGTCCCACAATAACACATGATGTTCCATTCCCTACTAAACTATGACAATGTAAGAAATTTTACTCATGCTACCTCGGCCTCATCCTAATATTTCAGATTCAATCAATAACTTCTCAAGTGATATAAATGCCACTTTATTTTGTCACCAAATATAAAGATGACTACTTAACATCCGATAATCATGCAAAATGGAGTCAGTCTTCTTGACAGTGGTCACATGAGCAGCATTTACTATCATAGATGATGACATGTATAGCAATGTGACCACACAAACTCACTGCATTGAACCACCCATCCTATCCTCACATGACCAGTCCCATATTAAAACTGAATACCCGTAGCAAGAAACTGTAATTCTAGGGTTAGTGGTAGCATTGATGTAAAGAGCATATAGCTTTACTCCTGTGGTTGACTGAATGCAGCAATTGTGGCATTGGCTCCGCTGTTGACACGCTGCTCTCCATTGGCGAGCTTTGGAGCTTCACGGTACACGCTCATGACCTGCGGGAGAAACAGAGAATGTGTGGTGTTTAAACGTCAGTGCCTACAGATAAACAAATATGATAGCAATCATACCTGGCCAATACCAGCCTGATTCATTATGCCAATCCCACCTTTGCATTGTGATCGATCAAGATAAAGTTGTCATCACACCTTGCCATCGCTTCTCCTATTGCAGTTAACACATAGATCCCCAAGTTTTACGATGATCTTGCACCAATTTCTGGTTTACAATTTTCCTTTTGATTGCAAACAACTGGAGCCCACTTTCAATGCCTGTCTTGGTAACATTGATATTGACAGCATTGACAATTATATTGACATTTACAAAAGTTATAGCAAAAATTACATTGACAGTTACATGATTTTGGCCATTGTTTCTGACCCTAATATTTAGAGTAGAACTTCGATTATCTGCTCTCTGTGATGACAATCTTTTGAGTTGTAAGGTATGTTGCATATAGACTTGTCTAATAAGTCTCAGCTATTGAATACTATTTTTAAATATAGACCCACATAGCAGATTTGCTCCACGTGGATGCAGTTGTTAATCACATATGCATGTCCCCTGAAATGTTCAAATCGTTTATACATTAGCAGTATGTACTCTCCACATCACCGCAAAATAATTGGAACTCTACTGCATATTGTTTCAACAGTATTGCATGTTAAAAGTGACAGCCTTATGATGTTAATAACTTGGACAGTGGCAGCCTAAACACTCACGTTGCTGATCCAGGAGTTGTAGGCTGACACACGGGTGAACACGGTGGGCTTGCGAATCGTGTTGCAGCCCAGAGATGAGACGTAGCTGGTGATTCCCTGCACCACCCAGGCATTGTCCGACCGCTGGCAGTTCAGTGGGCCACCTCCATCACCCTGTGGTGCATAGCAGAGTACAGCAATGTCTCACGTTAACATTGGATCAAGAAGAATTGGATTATGGGAGTGGGTGGCTGTGATAGAAAATGCCACCATGCCTCTCCAAACGTGTGCGTCTTTGCTAGCATGCGTTTGGCTTTGTAAGAGTGTGGGCATCGAGCTCCTGTAGTAACAGGTGTCTGTGTGAGCCAACACTCGTCAAGTGTGCTTCAGAGCCGTGGTGCTAAGTAACAGAGAGATATCGCAGAATGCCAAGGCCTGATCCCTCCCGTCCCCAACTCTACTATGCTGCCTTTGGTTTTTCCATGCACATGGCACGATTTGGGAGGGACATGTTGGCTACAGTATTAGTTTATCTACCATATTTTATTCATGTCATCCTCTTAATATCTGGATTTTATTTTGAGTAACTCTTAATGTACGTGAATAAAACCGTCAAATTTGAATTTACTATTAGTTATACAAAAAAACTGCAACTAAATTGTCAATAATTAGATATATAGGTAGAGTTATTGACGAATGTGTGGAGCTTTTAGTCATTTATGCTTGTGCACCACTACCAACATAGCATCGCCAAATAACTGGGTTATTGAATGTTGATGCGGAGGGTGCATAGTAAATATTTGAAAAATGCAAGTATAGAAAACTACCGTTATGGCCTTTCTCAAATATTCCCATTGGAAATTTTACTTAATGAATTGACGCGGGTTGGCTCGCGTTGCGCTCCGTACGTACATAGCACGCAGAGCGGGTGCTGCCCCCAGCGCAGATGACGCTGCTCTTCAGGTTGCTCCCCCACCAGCTGGCCTGGCTGCACGTCGCGTAGTCCACCACGGGCAGGCTGGCCTGCTGCAGCTCGCTGGGGGAGGGGCCGCTGGCTGCTCACACGCACAGATATCGTGGAGATGGAGAGCGTTGGTGAAAGCATCGGAGTTTGGTGGCGTTAACAGGCACTCCCCTATCGAACCGTCCATCTCTCCGTGCTCAAAAGGGAAAAGCCACATAGCAACACCGCCACCCTACTGACAGACTACTTCCCACTGTTGACTCTATGCAGAGTTGTGTTCATTGTGTTAACCCTAGAAAGATTAAGGGCCGAGTCAAACTGCTGGGGCAATTCAAACGTTGGATTTAAAGCACTCTCCAAAACTCTATCTCCTCTTGTTTCATTGACAGGGAGTGAACGTTACTTACTGGAAAGGGATCCCCAGCCCGTGACGTAGCACGGGTAGTTGTTGGGCAGGATCTGGTTGGCGCTGGGCAGGCAGGCCGGGCGCACCGTGCTGGAAAGAGCCACGGGCGACGCAATCTTGAACATGGCGATGTCGTACCTGTGGAGGATCGAGACAAGGGCAGTCGTGATGTGACGCTCAACACCGAACATACAACAAGCAATGGGGATTCAGCGCTGTGCACAGGAGAACTCCCCTTAACCCAGGTGATGTGGGGGATACATTATGTGGGGTTATCCATGATTTGACTCTGCACTTATTTGTGGGGACAGATTCATGAATAATGGGAAGAATAGGACCACAGGTAATAAGACGTTTTGTTGACAAAACAGCTTCTGCAGATAATGGAGCCATGAGTAATAGGGTCAAATACATGAGTTCTACTGTATATTTTAGTTATTGTATCGTAAGCATTGTATGAGATGAAGCAATAGCATTGTGTCTCGACTGTCTGTATCTTTTCAAACACAGAATGGACATGGGCTGGAAGCAGTGTGTAAGCACAAATCAAGACATCTCATCGCCTTGTCATTAACACTGCCGTATAACACTAAATGTTACTTCTGAAGAAAAATTATTCTTCAAAAGTAACATTTAGTGTTATATAATTCATCATTGCCTGACATTTCAATTATACGTTGTTTTACTGAAAGGCAGTGTCAATGACGTGCTTCGAGAGGGAAAATAAATGTCTGTCTCTTTGTGTCTTTGTAGAATGTATCTGTACATGTTTGTATATATATGGATATGTATCTGTCAATTGCAACTCGTAATGTCATAGTGTCACGGAAACAGTGCGCCCGTGTGCAGTCTCACCCATTGGCCGGGATGCTGGGATTCCAGTAGCTATGCCAGGCGATCAGGCTCAGTGCAGGTGTGACTTGCCCCGACTCGGTTGTGGACACACTGTGTTTTCCCAGCACCACCCTGTAGCTGTAGCCACTCCTGCACGTTGTGGTGAATGTGGGGAGATAACAGAGCGACGGGCGGTCGTAATCACTTACACCTGTAAGCATTGCAGTGAGGAATTAGTAAACAGAAATGGTGCGAGTTACATCATGGTACTTTCACTGCCACATTGCGGCATCGTGTAAATGTCATTGATAGAGGCCGCCTCCTTGCTCCCAAGATACATTGCTCCAACTTTGGTGGCCACAATGTGGTACAGGAAAATACTCTACAACACCTGGGACCCGGTGCAGTTGCACCACCTGCACACACGAGAGCGACGCCACTTGTGCCGTGACTCACGTGTAGCAGCTTGCAGAGGTGAGCACCCATTGACTATCAATGAGGGTTCCTCCGCAGTAGTTGACCCATCTTCCTCCAGAGTACCTCTGCACGAGCGCCTGCAATGCACACGCAGAAAAGTGGTGGTAGTTACGGTTTTTTCTCCAATTTCTAAATCTTGCAATACAGTACTAACTCAGCCCTTTCGTCAATCCACTGACCATTTGACCAGGCCTCACAATGCTAGTCACAGCTAGTTGTGAAGAGGTGGAATCTGGGACTGGTATGGATTTCACTCCCTACTAATATTAGCAGTCGCTGGGAATGTAAAAAATGTAGCATGGTTCGTCGCACGGTGCATAAATCACTGCACTTCCACTATCCCATTATAGTCACTGATTCAATGTCATTGAGAAGAGTGGAAGATCTGAACATGTCATGATGCACACATGCAGCCGTTTTGCCAGTGCACTGCTGGATGATGTCCTCCAGGTGGAATTTAGAACAATGGATGCTGCTGCACTGTGATCGACTGACAATGCATCGTGTGGCTGTGATGGCTGTTATTCAGCCTCTGGCTTTACCTGCCAAGGCCAGGAGTTAGCGCGAGCCTCCACGCCGTTCACCACGCGGATCTGGGAATACGCTGCAATCCCACAGCTCTGAGCAGACACCTCAGCTGTGAGAAACAAAAGGACACGCGAAACAAAAACAAAGATCCCCGAATAGCCTTAACGAACTGTTGGGGCAAGTGCAGTTAATGAGCACCTATGAAGACCGGTTGCGGCACACAAAGGGGTGGGTAGCCAGTACCACGCCCAGCCGCATTTGTTTTCCGGGTGGCGATGTTTACACATTTTAGCAGGTACTCATTTGTAGTTGAGTCGACCTAGGCGAGGCCCAAGACCGACCTTGATAATCGTCACTGGTGTTGGTCGTGAGCGGTCATTGAACTCGGGTCGCCGGGTTAGTATCACAGGACGCTAAGCGCTACACTACCTCTCCCATGTGCATACACACTATAGTAAACACACAATAATTGTGATGTGTTTTTGGGTTGTACCTTATGCATTTTGTGTCATGTTTTATTACATGTACTAGCAACCTCTTCTATAACTAAGTCCAGTTCCTGAAGAAGCTAGAATGATCACTCCACTAAAATAAATGTGTGCATGGCAATCACTCACCACCAACCAGCAGAGCAGCGCAGACGAGAAAGGCGAGCATGGCTGATCGAAGAACTGGAGTTGATTGAAGACGTGGAGCTTCTTGTGCACCAGTGTTTCCTTTCCACTGCCGTGTCTCACTTTGGGCCTTCTTGGTTTTTATACAGAATCTGCTGTCCACGTGAACCCTCAGATTGCAATCAGAATACTTCCCTATCTGCAAAACTGCCCAAATCAAGTTGGCATGCAAATTACAAATTCAGATATTTTTTTTTCAACATGAAAATTAGGTGTTCTTTTTTGTATTGGTCAGCAGTAAGGTATATATTGTTTATCCTGCTGACAATACCAAACCAAATTTATGGACGTAATTTTTTTATTGGTTAGGTTATAGTGGGATACGTGGAGCTGACCGGATGGTTGACAGATTTGGTCACTCCCATAAATGAGCTCCTTAGGCAGGCAAGACTGCGTTGGCTGGATTATGAAGCCCACATGCCCATCCACTGCATGCCCAAGCAGCTTCTGCTTGGCTGGATAGAGGAGGCTAAAAGAGCACGGCACGGGTAGATAAATTATGGACTAATACTGTATAGGAGGATGTGGAGCTGATCAGACTAGCCGATGACTGCGGAGGAGGCTCGTGAAGGACACGACTGGAGAGTTGGAGGCAGTTGCCCTCCAAGAACAATGGAGGTCAGAGGAGTGTCGTCCAAAGCAACGAGTGGAGCGCGAGGTGGACAACGAGATGCATGCGGCATTGTGAGCATTTGTGTTTTGCCGCTGTGTGTGTTACATTATTATACAAAAACACACACATACAAAACATACACGGTAAATAAATCGTTCTCATAGTCGTTGCCTTCACAAATTCCAACCGATGGAACACTGCTAGATTTGAAGCTTTCGTGACTGCAAGGATTTGTCGAAAAAACCTAAGAGTACGATGTAATACTCTCCGGGCATTACTTTTCAACGCGGAAATGATCATCGTAGCAGTGTGTATTGTCAAAACATCACCCCCGTGTTTTGTAGAACAGACTTAATTTATAAACCGTGTGTAAACGAAACACGCGTTCGACTAACACACGTTGGGCAGGGTTTTCCTCTATATAGTATTTTTTCCGGGCTTAAAAAAAGCTATGTGTTGGAAAGTTCCATATGTATTCCAGAAGTGGTATAATTCTTGAAAAACTACCATCAATCTTTAAAAAGTTCACAGTCGATATCAGATGGTGGCAAACTCAAAATCCTGGTTGGTGGCCGATTGAGCTAATTATCTCCTCTCTGGTTGATAAAAGGAGTACCACGAGACTGGTAGATTCATTGAGCGACTGATGAGGTGGATTACATGACCGTCTGTAGAAGCGGTCACCAATTGAGGTCAACATTACCAGACACTTGTTTAAGCTGGGAGATACTTCGGCTTGGCACCCACAGGTCGGCAACCCAGGGATAGGCCTGAAACCTAATTCCAGATGGTGGTGATGATGATAATGAAAATGTTAAATTGGACTTTGACGGTTATGTGTAGAGTCAGCTGTGTGATATTTGTGTGATCTAGCAGAAGGTAGAAAGCATTGTGAGCTGCGGTGGCATTAACGGGATTGACCACAATCATCTCTTGCGTAGCGATGTCATGAATGGCCAAATTATAGGGAGACAAAAGTGGCCTGGTGTGTACGCGTTTCTATCCATACCCCACTCTCGTGTGTCGTCCTGGCCTCAGCAAGTAGTCAATGACAGTACTTTTCCAGGTCTCTCCGGAAATATTACATTGGAGTTATTTTTTCTATGCATAGAAATGTTTGATTTGAACCAGCGAATTTCTGCACTCGAGCAGGTATTGATGTGATAGAGTTTTCTAAAAGGCATCACCCATCATGACTTTCAAAACTGTTTCCCCATTGTCCTCAGGCAAACTTGGTTCATTTGAGGCCACATCCTCTAACCCCTCACTGGTATTCATAATAACCTCTCTGTCCTAGTCTAGAATATTCAACTTTCTTTGTTAACATTTGCTTCCTTGACTCTAACCTATTTCACACAACGGTAGTACTCTGACCAGTGTAATGATCAGCATCAGAGTCTATATTTATCCTGGAGAAATCCGATGATCTATGAAGCTCTTTTTCATATATTTGCAGTATAGGTGGGTCAGAAAATTACAACAACAAACAATAAAAACAACGATAGGAGTGCAAATTATAAGAAAGGTAAGTAAATCACGAAAAATGTATACGTAAAATAGATAAAGTATATACGTCCAAGTTGCACAAGTACACCAGTTTCCAAACTTGGGCAAGGCAGCAAAACAACAGCTTAAACAGTCCGAGATCACACCAAAACAACAGATGGTCCCTCAATAAAATTGCCCATTAAATGTAAGTATTAATACATGTGTAAGCATGAAAGTTACAAATCACGTTTTTAATCACAAACGATCGTTGTATAACGAGATACATTTTGGAAAGATGACCTGAAGGATGCATCGGTGGCATTGTAGCAAGAAAGTCGCTGGCCTAATGTATCTGTCCAAAATTTGCATTGTTATCCCCTTTAACGTGTGAGTTTTCTCCGAGTTCTCCAGCCTCCTCCTATCTTCAAACATTCTGTAAAAGAAATTAGCCAAACAACCCAAGCAGCATCCAACTGGAAAGAGCCTTGAGGCTTACGAATGCTAATGTGGCTAAATTATTTATTACAACGTTGATTTACTGGAAATATCATACATCGCAAATGTATTTTTTTTATCTTTTGTGTTTAAAATGCAGGTTATTGTATTGCCTATTAGTTGAATCGCAGATCGCAAGTTCAAATCTTGGTCATTACCCCCCCACCACCCCCAAAAATTGATTGAGTCTTTGCTCTTGTTCTTTTAATTTGCGAAATTCTCAATCTCTGAAACTAAAATTTTAAATGTTGTTCTATGTTGCCGAATTGTGAGTGCATTGATAATATATCAAAACACCAAATTCCCGTTCAGTTATTCTCAATTTCAGCTGCCTTTCTTGTAATAACAAAATGTATACAACTAGAACTTACATAATTACAGATTGTAACATAATTGATTAATAATTCTGGCAAATACAGAGGCTACGAAATGTGTTACTGCTTCAAAGATATGAAGAATGTTTCACATTAACATTTTCTACCAACTCACATCCAGTGCAAAGGACTGAGTTGATCCATGTTTTACAACTTCTGCAGCATCTTGAACACATTGTAACCACTCCCATTGCTATTTTATTTGTTTTAAAGACCAGGGGTCGGCTCAACCCATCATCATTTCTGGGTTTATTAAATTTGCTAAACTTTGTGTACAATCAACAGTTTATGTACTCAGGGGAGTCTGGCTACCCACTGCAGCAATGTGGAATTTCCACTCCTGGACCGGGACTGCCAAAGAAGAGCACTGCCCAACTGTGAATGATTTGATTTAGCTTTTTATTTTTTCACTGCAAACATTTCTACAGGCCGCTATTATACATTTATTATGAATGTAATCTGTTGGAGATTCTGATTAAATGTCAGATGGTGTTTGGTGCGTTGTTTTAATATGTGAAGAGCTGACCGTTTCTCCACTTCCTACCCCTCTACATCTTCCGGCATCTGGCCAAGCGAAATACGTCATCCAAGTGAATGCATGCAAATTACTTGGAAAACATAGATGGGACATTATGAACAAGATAAGGCAGCCTGGAACCTGAGCGTGTGCAACACAATCAGAGCAGATAGTGGTCTCTGTAGTGAAGTCACGATACAAGTGACCCAGAAACATAGTGGTTCCTTCTGTGAAAATTTGCATGTGTGTGGAAATGCCCATTTTTTTTAATGTTTAGAACTAAGCAATGGCATGGAAACCCAAGACATGTGTGGAGGTTAGGACATGTGTGGTTTTGTTTATAGCGACCTTGGAAAAAAATCACATTTGGTGGAATTAATATGTAACTACAGCCCTTGGTCAATCGATTCCTGGATAAAGGCTTCCCTGTATCGTATCAGTCGTAGTTAGATTATATTCGCCACGTTAGTCAGTGCAGGCTGGAGAAGCAGAGGGGTCCAGGACTGGTTCACACTGGACTATCCGCTGATGTTAGCAGTGGCTGAGAATCAAACTCAGTTCCACTGGGTCCGTAGTGCAATGCGCTAACCACTGCTGACATTCTAAATGTGAGTGCGGTCCTCTGTCCACCGTGCTATTATCGAATGTCAATGCACACACGAGCATTGTTTAGTGAGTGACGTATTACACTGGTATTCAGATCATAGGTGTAAATTAGAAGAACAGTGATCTTGTTGCTTTCTGTTCTCTGGAGATGTAAGAATATGTAAAACTAGCAGTCACATGTGAAACTTCTGTGGTAAACCTGTGGAGTTTTGCAGTACTGTATAATAAGGATGTACGCGTTCTAGATCCAGATCTGTGTCGTAGTTCTGATGCTGGATCGCCAGATATATATGTCAAGCTGTTTCATATATAAGTGACAAGTTGAGTCCACCTTAAAGTAACTGTTCTGTCCATTATGTGCACTCTCTGGCACTAAATGACAAAATGCACAGGGATGGAATTGATAGCCTGGTTCGGAGACTTGGCCACATAACCAGGGAGAGGCAGGGCCAGTTATTTCATAAGATGCAGTCTCCATGCTGAGCTCCATAATGTTATGTTAATCCATCATATTTGCAGCCCTTGAGACACAACACTTGTGAGTAATCAATATTTTTTCTGGTGTAGACTTCACGAGTGTATTGTTAGTGCCACGTAATGAGTTTAAAGAAGTAGTGCACACTGCATGTATTAAACGTGTTCCAATATGAGACATATTCAGGCGTAAGCCCAACCAATTCATTCATTTGGTTACAGACTGAGAGAAACTGTGAGACACTCTTGAAAATAGCCGCCCTGAATAATTCTTGAAGAAACATCCAACGCTGCCTGGGGCAAGGATGATGAAGTCTACCTTGTGGTATGCCCGTGTTGCAATGCTTGGTCGGTGATCTTTCAGCCAGTACTGTTTTGATACCACAGGGATGAAGTTTGGCTAGCATCTACTTTGGCATTTACCACTACTTGATGTAGCAGCATAGTGGCTGTGAATTTAACGAGGGAGTTCAATGTTCAATTAGCTAACGACTTTTATGTTTCGATGTAACAGTTTTACC